TAGTTTTGATTTGCATTTCCCTGATTACAAGTGATGTTGAACAGTTTTTCATATGTCTGTTGGCCATTTGCATTTCCTCTTTGGAGAAGTTTCTTTTTAGCTCTTCTGCCCATTTTTGAGAAGTGATATAACAATACTGGAAGGAAGATAGAGAGTAAGTAGGAATGTGTGATTGAGGAAAATATTATCTCCTGGAATAGGAAGAAAATAGTGTAAAACACGTAAAAGCAACATATTATTTGCAAACATTAGTGTAACCACACTGAAAGAACTAAAACAGAGATCATTGAAGTGGTTGCCTATATGAATAGGCATTGTTTGGGAAGCTCTGGCAGAGTGAATGAGGCTTTTCATTGTAAATCCGTCTATACAGTTCAATTTTCAAAATTGTGTTCACTCATCATTTGATAAAAATGAACAAAAAGAAAAGAAAAACAGAGTCCTTTAGAGTAAATTTCCTAATGAAGTAGGGAATATTTTTTTTTAAAGATTTATTTATTTTTATTTATTTATTTATACAAGCACTGGGCGCAGTCAGAAGCGCGGGAGGGTGAGAGAATTCACCAGAGCCAGAGCGGGGAGCAGAGCAGGCAGAAGGACCGAAGTACACCGCTGAGGGGAGCAGAGGGCGGCAGGAGAGGTCTGCGCGCCATGTGGGACCCTCCTCCGGTGGTCGGGGAGCAGCCGGGGATTGAACCAGAGCTGCAGAGGCTGCGGGTAGCTTCGCAACCCAGCGCTCAACCGCTGCGCCACCGGGGAGGCCCAAGTAGGGAATATTTTTTATGTTTATTGGATTACAACAACTATTTTTAAAAAGTCTTTAAATTAAGAGCACAGCAAGAACTGGTTTTCCATTGAAACTATTTGAGATATGCTTACCAACTATTCAATTTAATTGGTACACTGCAGAAAAATCACACCAAGCAGATATACATTATTACTTAAAAGGAGTCACTCTTATTTTACAAACTGAAATAACAATTCAAATTTAGAACTCTGTAGTCTTACTTTATAAATATTTCTTCATATGTAAAAGCAGTAGCTTTTTTAAGTGTGCTGTTGTTGATTTCTATGCTTCTGGCATTAAACATATAGTCCTCCTTATAATACTGGTGTCAGTAATGCAGCGCTGTACATGCTATCAGGTGAAGCTTATGATAAATTGTAGGTAAGAGACATTATTTTGGCCATTTATATAGTTAAATCTATATTTAAATGAAATCTTTTTGATTTTGAATTTAATCAACTCAGAATTTGTCAAAGTTTACTTTGTCCTTTTCATTTCTGGACCATTATATCCTGACTAGATCTTGAGACACCTCACCTCTTGCAAATAGTCACCAGCCTTTTTACCTCTTCTAAAAGGATTTCAGTGTTTGCATTAAGTCAACACAGTGGTTATTTATACACAATTCCTAATTTATCTACTCTCTAGTTGTTCTTCATTTGCTCTGCACAGTATATGGATAAGATGTAGTCCACTTACATGATGCCTGAATTTGATACAAGCAAGACAGAAGTATCCTAGTAAGAATGGTCCCAACTGTTTTTCTCATGTGCATTGTTTATTCTCTTCCTTTTCACCTAGCTCCTCCATTTACTTTTGTATCCTATTTTTAATAGTTATGTATCCTTTATCTAAGATTTTTGTTTCCATTCTCTGATTCTCTAATCCAATTTGCTTCTTTTATGTTTCCAAGTAGAGGAATAATATTATGAAATCTTGAAGAGTAATTATCATAAGATTATCGTTTCTTTTGCTTTATGTTTTCTAAAATATATAGCCTCTTCTTTTCTCTTCTTCTGTTCAATTTGAAATGTGAGTGAATCTTCTGTGAAAATTTAGCTTCCATTGTTTCAGTATTGTTTTGCAAAACATTTATAAATGATCATAGATGTAAATGTGGTTCTATTGATATTTATAATGTATATATAATTTAGGTAACCTCATGGAAATTTGAAAGCATTAAAAAAAATGAGAACTGCTGATTATAGATTAATTGTAGATAAAGAGGGAAATTTTCTACTGAAATAACATTTATTTCAGAAGTTTGAGACATTTTTTTTTTTTTTAAAGATTTATTTATTTATTTATACAAGCACTGGGTACAGTCAGAAGCGCGGGAGGGTGAGAGAATTCACCACAGCCAGAGCGGGGAGCAGAGCAGGCAGAAGGACCGAGGTACACTGCTGAGGGGAGCAGCGGGCGGCAGGAGAGGTCTGCGCGCCATGTGGGACCCTCCTCTGGTGGCCGGGGAGCAGCCGGGAATCGAACTGGCGCTGCAGAGGCTGCGGGCAGCTTCGCAACCCAGCGCTCAACCGCTGCGCCACCGGGAGGCCCAAGTTTGAGACATTTTTAACCTAATACAGTAACTGTGGAAAATGTGAAGGATGATTTAGGATGTAATTTTAGCAAGTTGCTTTTATTAATTCCACACATAAGCTACTTATTTTCTGGAAAAGTTACAATTATCCATTAAATATAATGCTCAGTTAAGAATATCTTTACTTAAGTTTTTTTTGTCAGTTGTTTATATTAATCTGCAGCACCGTTACACAATAATAAAGATTACAGAATCACTTGAGAAGAATAATAATCTTTTCTAATATATGTTGGTTTAAATTGCTTTAATTAAGTTCAAATTAGACACCAAGATACAGAATACAAAAGGTTCCATAGCAGGTCGGTCTGAAGGTGAAATGCAGTCAATATCAATTATTATCAATATATAAGTTAGCATTCAAATATCCCTATCTTTTCTTTCCCCAAAAGTCATTGTTCATTTGATGGTCCTGCTACAATAGATGAAATAAGTGCACAAAAAATCCATTAGATAAGAAACCAACCTCTTGACTCATCTGATTCACAGAGAATGTTAACAGAAAGCAATACTATTAATCGTGGCCTCAAATGCCTCAGGACCCACCATAGGCTGCCAAAGGTCATCCTAAAGAACATACATCACAATGCCATCTGATATCTCTTTATAGCCTGTTAAATAGAAGTGGTTACCTATTTTGGTTGAGCCACAAATTCAATTCCCTGCAGTAATTTGAGATAAATTTCTTTAGTGCTCCCTTGTATTTTCCCCAGTCAATTTGTCATTTAGGACCAAATGAAGGGGAATAGTTTGTGTTGCCGAAATGACTCGGCAACTTTAAAAAGAGGGAATGTATGTGATTATTTCTCAACCAATTGTGATGCTGTCTGGACTACAAAAGATAATGTCATGGTACTTGGAACCATGAATTCAGCTGCACTGGCCAGTGCCAGCACCACTCAATGGCTCCATCATCCAAACTTCACAAGAAACTGAAACACCTTTCACCTCAAAGGTATTTGAAATTCAATAGAGACACTTTCTGAAGGCATAGCTTCCATTGCATTGTTTCATGAAAGATGTCATTTTTAAGGAAAAGGCCAAAGTAAGTCTGTCTGTGGCACTGTGATCTTCTGCACAGCAATTGAAGAACTTATAGTCTGGAGAGGGCAAATAAGAGAAACCCTGGGAAGAGTCAATGTGTGTTTTTTGCAACTCTTGAAACAAAATGCAGTACCTTTCATTAGATGATAAAGTGAGAAAATTACTGCAACCCCCTTTTCCTTTTTTCATTGGGGTTCAAATATTTATAGTTTTAGGTTAGATGTATGGTATAAATGAACTTAAAATTCTCTTATCTATGGAGTCAGACACCCAGGACTGTGCTCTGATGAGGAATGCTTAATGTGTTACATGTCTACCTTTAAATGATCTGAAAACATTCCAGACTACGAGATATCCTCAGTGGCTACTTCGGCTTCAATCAGTGGCTACCCCAGCAACCAATAATTTTATGAAAATCTGGAAACAGTGACTATTTAAACTGATCACCTGGACACATTTTCAGTACAGACGTTGTATTGACCAGGTTGGATGTTTCTTCTTCATCCACACTGATCAGTGTAGACACCCAGACAGGCTTCATTCTCTAGTTTGTAGTCGAGTCTGCATAGACCCTACATCCCACTGACCGTCTCTTCTCTATCTGACTGCGCTAAGGGTACAGAAATTGAGGATCAGATTGTTTAAAATTCCCAGTAGACCACCTGCTCTCTCTTCATAGTTATAAAAAAGTGTGGTCCTCATTTAATTGCTCTAGGCTCTCAAAGCAAAAGTGTCTAAGAATCATGTAAAAATGATAGTTGTTTTTCCTTCTTTTAAAGGCTGCTGATTACAGGACTCTGGCAAGTGGTGATTGTCTTGAGACAATTCAGAGTATTTATTTGCGTGATCTTTTTTTTTTTAAAGACTTATTTATTTATACAAGAACGGGGGTACAGGCCAGAGGCGCGGGAGGGTGAGAGAATTCACCTGAGACAGAGAGGGGACCAGAACAGGCAGATGGACCAAAATACACTGCTGAGGGCAGCGGGCGAGACAGGAGAGATCCGCCCCACCATGTGGGTAGCTCCCTGACCAACTGGGATCAATCTGTGCTCAACCCACTGCACCACCAGGGAGACACTTTGCTTGATCTTTAAAAATCAATCTTGGAAGTTCTATAACATGGAGCATCCCAAAGATGTCTCCTATTTTAAACCTAAAAAAGCTTAAAATGGGAGCCTACAGTGTAAGACTTTTATATTTTAATGAATCTTCTTCTACAATTTGTATTTAGTCATGGAAAAATATATAAAACTGTCAACATTTTAATCCTTAGATTCGAGTGTGATAGAGGAATTGCTGCCAATTGTATGGATTATGAAATATATTAAGCACTTGTTTAATAGGTATAACAATCTCTAGTATGGCATAGCATATATTTAGTACTGGACTAAATATATGTAAGACAGGTGGTTTAGGTAAACCAGTGTAACAGTTCCTTCACAATTGTAGCATCTTTTCATTTCCTTATTATAGAAGCAATTATGGAATACCTGGCATATCTTTGTAGTCTCACTATAAAACATTGACTAACTTGCATATAATCTTACACTTAATATGTTTGATCTATTTCAGATGTGACAGTTATGGTTTTATGCTCCCATAAAATGGAAGGCCATTTTAAAAAGAAGAATTATTTGCTCTGAGAAAGAACAGACAAAAAGAATTTGTAGGACCTTCTTTTTCCTTTTTCTGAGTGGGACTGACACAGAAGCTGCCTGAGCAAGTGCTGTTCATATTACGTGCCACCATTAATTTGCTCGCTCTCAAACTCAGGTGTGGACATGCATTTATTCTTTGAACACAGAGATAAAACTACTTGTTTCCGTTACTGTTTTCCTAGACAAAAGCATAAATACTCAGTCAGAATTGACCTTCACAAAAACAAATGTCTATGAACAGATGTCTCATATAGATGTTCTGAATTTAAAAATTAGGTGGTTTATGATAACAGGAAAATATTAGTCTCTGGCTAAAAATCAGAGCATCATTTATCAACTCTATATTCTTATATTTCTTTCATCCTAAGAACAAATAATTTAGTATCATATTCCTTTGTTTCTTACATCATTGTTAATTTTTGTACAGTATTTGATTTTTCCCTTTAGGTGTAGTCCCCATAGTTCTCCCACCACCATAATATATTCTTATTTCAACTGCTACTCTGCAATAGGATTTCAAGTCTATCTAGTTTAATTTCCATAAATGGTGAGATCTCTCTCACAAGGAATGAAACAATTAAGCAGATCAAAAAACCATTTTCTACAAGTTTTGAGACAAAACCATAAAAGAAATTCTGTTGCTGTAGTAAGGGTAACAGACACCTTCTAGCTGAAAACTCTGATATATTAATGGGAGAATTATGATTTGGAATACATTGAGTTAAGTCAGCTGTAGATTTGACTTGTGCTTGCTATGTCACAGCAAATTATTTTCAAACAGTGTAAATTACTAAGAACAACTAAAAGTTTAAAAGGATTTAATATCATGCAGTGTCAGGGAAAAAAAGAACATGCTTAATGGCACATTAATTAATGCTAAATTCAAATTGAATTCTATGAGCATCTACAAATGCACTGGGGAGTTGGTTTTAATCTTTGCAACCACAGTGAATAAAATAAATTAATGATAGGGCACAGAAAATGCTGTCAAATGTGTTATTCCATCTTATAGAAAAGCAACTGCTTATGAAAAAATTTCTCTGCAGGCAAAGTGAAACTCAATTGACAGCAAAAAAGGGAGAAAGGAAAGCAGAGTTATGAGCTTTATGGAAGCTTTACCCAGAACTCTAAATTAGAAAATCTTTCCTTCTACAGTTTGACCCCAAGGAAGCTACTGCATCCCTTTTTTTATGTCTGAAGTTCTCTAATGGAAGATGCTGGAAAAAGATGGAAATTTAGACAGTAAGTCCTTTCTTTAGGGAAGAATACATGCGGACACACAGGATAAACAGAAAACCTCAATAAAGATAAGCCTCTGACTGCACACATAGCTTTATTTGAGTCCATTGTGTGAAAATCTGGCCATCAGGGCCCACTTGTAGGCCAGACACCAAATTCATCTCATTAACTCCAGAAATTCTAACTTCTTTCATCTCATCCCATCGATTCTTAAAATTTGGTAAAAACTAGCAAGTTCTCTCTCCTGTATGTGTTCAGATTCCTGGATTGTAACTAGTTATTCTGCTCTCTTTTCTCCCCTTTCATTGTGCTTTCTCTCAAAAATCTTCCCCCTCCCTAGAACTGACTCAAATACCTCCCCACATATTCCTTATTGTTATGTAACCTGTGCCTCTGGCCAGGTGTCTCTATCCCACTGAGTGTAATTATATCTGATAGGAGCTTCCTGTCCTCCTCTGGTTTCTCTAACTTTTTGAACAAAGTCTTCAGGTTTCATGTGGAGTTACCTCTAATTACATAAGAGTATATCTGGGAATGAGAAGCAACTAATATCAAAATAAATGTTTGTGGGAAAGTGCAAATTCACTTGGAAATGTTAGGCAAATGTCAGTTTATCATTCTAAGCTAAAATACAAACATATCTCATCTTGATTTCACCTCAACCAGTTTCTAAAACCTAGTGAAATTATTGGCATGTTAATGAGTCTTCTAGCAGTTTATTTCCCACCTACCATGAAATAATCTAGGTCATTAAATCTTTCAGTAAATGTTTGTGAGTTGTTTAAACAGGTTAAAATATGGTGAATTACTAGACTTTTCTTGTACTAATTGCATGGAGATACAGGTATAATGGTCCATTTTGATATTCCCTGAATGGTTCCATTGTGAATTAGGATAATAATGGGTCTTTGATCTTTATAATGAAAAAGAATTTACATTCAACCATTGTCTTTCACAGTTTGGATTTATGAATTCATATATCTAGCATTTTGTAAAAATAAAAAATGAAGATGAGAAAAGGGCTGAACAGAGAGGAAAATGTATATTCAATCATAGAGAAATATTTACCCCTAGTAAGTTATGTTTTCTTTTCTGTAAAAAATGTATATAGTTTGGGGCACTTTCTCAACTTTAACTCACCACATAAAATTGGAGAATAGAATGGAAACTGATTATTCCTGGAATGTATAGCAGAATATTACTTACTAAAGCTTTCCTAGGAAAACTCATTTATGTAAGCCTAAACCCAGGATCAGATATTTCTAGTGGCTATGAACACATTCAGTATTTTCCATGTAAGACATTTTAAAAGTTGTTCATACATAATATGTCCCATCCTTAACACATAAACCTGCAGGGTATTCATGACAATTCATGCAAAATCAGGATTATGCAAAAAAATAAAAGTGCACCCTTGCATACTGAAAATAGAAAACATAGTCTCAACCTGAGTTCTTGCTTACTTATTAAGATATTCAGCCTTCAGAGATGAATAACTTTCCTTTAAGAAACTCAATATGCTTATTAAGCATCTGCACCTCATTTCCCTGAAGGAAAGTCTATCTTTCTAGTCTACTTCTCCGTCTTCACTTCAAGTTCTTCACTGCCCTTAATTACTTTTCCTCATTTTCCTGTGAATGTGCTGATTTTTTTCTGCTTTTGCATTTTTCTCAGACCATGTGGAGTGTTTCATCATTAAAGGACCTGCTTATATTTTTCCTCTACCATGTGACTCTGCCCTCCTGTAGCTGCATGTGTTTGCTGTTTTTGATCTTCATCACGTATTTGGCCTTTACCATTAATGCTTAAGTATTGTTAGGGTGTTTTGTTTTCTGGTTTTTGTTTTTCAATATTTCTTCTCTGCATTAGATGGTAAATTTCCTGAAGTGAACAAGGGCCCGGAGTTTTTATTTAATTTATTTTATTGAGATATAATTGACATATAATATTGTGTAACTTAAAGATGTATTTATTATGTATTGATCTGATATGTGTATATATTGTGGTATCATTACCACCACAGTGTTGGTTAATATTGATGATGTCACATGCTTATCAAATCCTGATTGTTTAATCCCTCCCCCCATCTTCTGTTGTAGTGCCTTGAACATTATGTAACCTGAGCAGATGTTAGTTTTTGATTGATGAAAGGGATTGAAAATTTCACACAAAAATTCAGATTCTTTGAGTGCAGCTTGTTCTCTGTTTAGACTGAGAGTTAGGTATTTATTTGGTAAAGCACAGGTACAGTGCTACTCAAAGTGTCCCCTGCAGATCCCTGCTGGAACACAAATTGTTGACTAGTGGTCTCTGCCCAGATAAGCATTGCATGAAAATGTAAATAAACTATGTCACTAAGCAAATCGCAATGCTTGGCGAACATTTTGGATAGAAATTTTGTTACTGTAGTGTGGATAACAAGATACCTTCTGGTTAACAATTCTGATATGTTAATGGGAAAATTAATTGTGATTCATTTTATTTACTTTCCAGCACAAGCTTTTTATATCCCCTTTTAAACCTGTAACAAATGGTTTAGATCTGCTACTTGAGCAGCATTGGTCCTCCCTGATGAGTTAATTAGAGCGCAAACACATCATATATATTATGTATAATGACACATATAAGCTTTACTTTCTTGAATGTGTAATTTTGGTCAGCCTCAGTTTCTTCATCTATAAAATGAGGATAACCATATTTTCTTCATATAATCACCATAGGGATTAAAGCTTTTTAAATGCATGAAAAGCTTTTAACCCAGGACCCAGTATATATTAGTATTAAATGAATGGTACCTGTGATCACTATTTTGGCTGTATCTTATGTACCATATGCCATTCTAACAAAATGCATTAGTTAATTATAAAATTTTAGCACATATATATTTACACTTAATTATAAATAAAGATTATTTAGCCTACTGGGGGAAAAAATTGAGAAATCTATGAATAGTTACTAATGGCAAGATAACAGGCTTTGAAAGATATGAACAGGTTCTATCAAGACTTAAAGGTGCCTTTTAAAAAAAAAGAAAAATTCTGCCAAATGTGACAATAGATGAACCTTGAGGACACTGTGCTTAGTGAAGTCAGTCAGTCACAGATGGACAAGTACTTCATGAGTCCACTTATATGAGGTGTCTAAAATGGCCACACTCATAGAAGCAGAGAGAAGAATGGAGGTTGCTAAGGGATGGGGAGGTGAAGTAAGGACATTACTTTCCATTGCACATCAATTTTCAGTTGTGCGAGATGATTAAGTTCTAGAGATCTGCTGTACAACCCTGTCTATAGTTACAAACGTGATAGCATGCATACACTTAAGTTTTTCTTAGGAGATTAGATTCCATTTTGTGTTCTTATCACAGTATTTTTAAAGGTGCATACAACTTTATAGGAACTTTTATGCGTACCTTAGACTTAATACAAGTAAAACATATTATGCATTATAGAAATTATAACATTAATTTCAAAACAATTAACTAAAGTAACATATGCTCAATGTATGTGTATGTCTGAAATTGCTGGGTGATCATCCTATCTCTTGTTTTTTTTTTTTTTTTTTTGGTGTGTAGAGATCAAAAACATTACTTACAAAGCAGACATTGCATAAAGCTGATCATTGTGACCAGAACTAGTTATTATGTAAGATGTAGAGATTCATCCTTTAATTATTTATAGAATGTTTATAATGTTCTAGGACCTGAGAATCCAATAGTGAATATAAGAGTTGTAAACCCTTACCCTCATGAAACCACACTCTGGTCACTTTTGTACCTGCAGTGATTTATTTTTTTTAAAGATTTATTTATTTATGCATACAAGAACTGGGGTACAGGCCAGAGGTGTGGGGGTGAGAGGATTCACCAGAGACAGAGTGGGTGACAGAACAGGCAGATTGACTGAAATACACTGCTGAGGGGAGCACTGGACAAGTCAGGAGAGGTCTGCTGCACCATGTGGGTTGCTCTCTGGCCAAGAATCAAACTTGTGCTGCAGTGACTGCGGATAGCTTCATAGGTTGCGTCTTAACCTCTTGCGCCACCAGGGAGGCCCTGCAGTGATTTATTGGGACACATTGGTCATTGTAGCATAATGTATTAATTAATTATAAAATTGTGCTTGAAATCATTATTGTCCAGTATGTTTAGTTCTGGGTGAGTTGAAATTTGGGCCATACCTTTGAGTTTCCTCCTGATATGCTTTAGGCCTGGGTGAAGGGTTCTTTTCCTCAGCTGGAGAAGCTGAATTACAGAAAGCCATTGCTGGGGTGGGTAAAAGGCTTCAGGCTCTGCAGGGGCTCATGTCCCTGCCCTCCCTGGCTCAACTGCTCAACCCAAATGGAGATAGCCTCTTCCTCCCTCATATCAAATGTCTTTTTTTTCCCCCAAATGAAGTTTAAAGAGAGTATATATCCTATGGCCATTTCTTGACTTTATTGTCCCTCTTAAATGTATACAAATATACATGAAGGTGTAACTTAGTGACATTAAATTTCATAGAGCAGTAATTAGCTATTTATGATTATGATTATGAGCATTCTAAAGATTCTGCTTTGCCCCACAGAGCAGTGAGTTGGTGGTGTGTAAACCTATAGATAAGATCAGACAAGTTATTATAATAAATAATTGCTTTTTTGCTAAAAACAGCATTTATTTTCTAAGTCAATGGAATATCTTGGATTTTTTAATCTATTCACATGAAATCATTAGGAGATAATATCTGGGGATATAACTTTTTATCCCGCTTTACCATTTAGAAAATTGATGTACATGTATATACATTTGATATTTCTCCCTTTATGCATATTACATTATAGTGTGGAGTTATCAAGTAGTTTACTTTATAAGTCAACTATGAATCAAATGCTAGGATGCAAGAATCTTTTAATGTGCCTGTGTAGTTTCTATTTTTAATATTTTAAAGTACATTATTTTTAAAGATAAATAAGTCAATTTTCTGTGTTTTTCCTTTTTAATGTGAAGATTTTTGACTTGGGTAAATATAATCTTTGCTAGTTTTCTTTCTTTTTTTTTTTTTTTAAGATTCATTCATTTATTTATTTATACAAGCACTGGGCACAGTCAGAAGCGCGGGAGGGTGAGAGAATTCACCAGAGCCAGAGCAGGGAGCAGAGCAGGCAGAATTACTGCTGAGGGGAGCAGCAGGCGGCAGGAGAGGTCTGTGCGCCATGTGGGACCCTCCTCCTGTGGCCGGGGAGCAGGGCTGTGGGCAGCTTCCTGTGGGCAGCTTCGCATCCCGGCGCTCAACCGCTGCATCACCGGGGAGGCCCTCTTTTATATTCTTATTGGAGCATATGCCATACATTCAAAGTTAGAGTGTCCTCAAAGATTACACATATGTATCTGTGGCTTACATCCAAAATTATGGCAAAGTTAGTATTAGTGGATATCTTTGGTGACAGCTCAAGGAAACAAAATAAGTAGAATATTGCCAGATAGGGCATTACAGTAATAATGAATTTTCGCGTAATGATATTTGCTTTCAGAATTATGTGATACCAGATTAAACGTCATAAGTAAGACAGCAGGATGATAATAAAGAATGAAGTATCTGCTTTTTCTTTTTTTTAAAAAAAAAATTATTTATTTATTTATTTATTTATTTATTTATTTATACAAGCACTGGGTACAGTCAGAAGCCCGGGAAGGTGAGAGAATTCACCAGAGCCAGAGCGGGGAGGAGAACAGGCAAAAGGAACGAAGTACACTGCTGAGGGGAGCAGCGGGCGCGGCAGGAGAGGTCTGCACGCCATGTGGGACCCTCACCAGTGGCCGGGGATCGAACTGGCACTGCAGAGGCTGCGGGCAGCTTTGCAGCCCAGCGCTCAACCACTGCGCCACCAGGGGAGGCCCAGTATCTGCTTTTTCATTAGTAATTAAATAAAATAAAATTTAATGAGGTCTCTGGTCGGGAATTGTAAGCCACAGGCACTAAGATAAAGGAAGCAACTGATTGGAATTTTTTTTAAAAGATTTATTTATTCATTTATATAAGCACTGGGTACATTCAGAAGCCTGGGAGGGTGAGAGAATTCACCAGAGCCAGAACAGGGAACAGAACAGGCAGACGGACGAAATACACTGCTGAGGGGAGCAGCAGGCATGGCAGGAGAGGTCTGTCAAGCCATGTGGGACCCTCGACTGCGGTCGGGGATCAAACTGGCGCTGCAGAGGCTGCGGGCAGCTTCCCAGCCCAGCACTCAACCGCTGTGCCACCAGGGGAGGCTCTGATTGGAATTTTTAAGTGTCTATTTATTGGTACTTCTCCTACACTGCACATTGTTAACAACAATTGAGGACCTGGACACCTAGAGATACACTCTAATCTCAAATGTCAGGCCCAGATTAGTGCCTGAGGTAACTCATACATTTGAGAAGCTCTGCAAAGGTGTGTGTTCCAACATCACTCTAGAAATGGGTTATTCTTTAGATCATGACATATATAAAGATAGCTACCATCTGATGTGCTTAAGCATAAACAGGGTCAGAGTGAGTCACCACTAGATAATGAGTGACTGAAGGCCATTTGGAAGGAGTAAGATCATGAATCATCTGGAGGTCTCTTAGGAAAAGTGTAGCACATTATATGAGATTCTAATTTTGAGACCTAGAATTTGACCACTGCAGATGTTGGCATCTTTTAAAATTCACAGTGCATCACTGCAGTCTACCATAAATCAAGACTGATTTTAGTCTTCAATTTTCAGTCCTGAGACTCTCACATTCTAGCTAGCATACAGGATTTAAATCCAGTCTCCCCTTGGCTCTAAGTCCTATTTTTCTCACCTATCGAAAGTACAGAGAGAAACTTGGGGACTAAAGTTGGATTACTGCCAGGAGGGTGGCAGCAAATGTGGGAGATCAGTAAAAGACAAAGAAGAAAATAGAAGGTATAGTCAAATTAGGAGTGACATATACATATTTTCTAACAGGATTATTTATAAGGATGTGACAGAGTGTTAATGTGGCAGAGATAATGCTGTACTCTGGGGCTAGTAATGATATTACTTACCTGTCCTTAGGTCTAAAGGAGAGAGGGGAGCACAGTTTCCCAGAACACAGAATGAGAGAGTATTACAGCAAGTTTCTAGGGAGAAATATGGTATTAGGGAAAGCTGCAAGGCAAAGCATTCAGTTTAAGTGCCTAATCTCATCCCAGCTCTCTCTCTCTCTCTCTGACCTTTTGTCTAGGCTCCTTATGGACCAAACGAAATGGGGCCAGAAACAAAGGCGTCTCTTGTAGTTCATGTAAGAACTGGGAAAGAAAACAGAAAAGTGGAGAGTGGATCTGGAGAAGCAAGTGAAGATATTTGGTAAACTCACATATCTTGTTTAATTTGATGAGAATAAGAACTCATTATTCATAATTTGCAGATGAAGCAATGGAATCCTAGAGAGGTAACACACCCAGATCAAGGTCAGATGATTATTAAGTGAAGGACTCACATAGCATCCACCTCTATGCAGAGCCTGTGTTCAAAACCATTAGTGAACTAGCAATGTCTTTTCATTCAGAGATAATTTTTATAAATATTGCTACTTTACCTAACTGTTAAATCATGTATGTAAGGAAATGTTGGTCACAGAAAAGAATAGATAACAAGTCCTTGGCACAACACAGATCTTTAAAAACATTTGTTTTAAATTTTAACCAGATGAGCCAGAAAATGAAAGTCATCATTACAGACTAATTTAGAAATAAGTCCTTGAAAATTTTCATTCTTTTTTTTTTTTTTTTTTGGTAAACATTTCTTATCACATGTACTCCTGCATATGACAAAGCATGCAGATGCAGATGAAGTATCATTTTTCTTTCTATTCAAGTGCCTTAAACTTTCAGGTGTTAAAATTAAATATGCTGGATACCATATAAAACAAAATGGCAACAAAGGTGAAATGATCAACCTAAAGGTAAACATGTAGCTTAATTCATACAGAAGTCCTTCCTGCAGATAAACCATAGAGCCGATGCATACAGCAGGGAAGGGGTAAGGAAAGATTTCAAAAGAGGGGAGGGAGGAGCATAAGGAACTATGGCAATGGCTCACAAGTACTGTGGTGGTGGGAGAATTATGGGGACTATGCCTGCGGAGAGAAATCAAACATTGTACAAAAATTAATAATTATGTAAGAAAATTTAAAAATTAATTAATTAATATAAAAATAAATAAATACATAAAAATCACAAATCCTTCCTTCAGTATGGCTCAAACAAGCCAGGGCACTATGTCTATACTGCATTATGAATCAGCATATGTCTATCTAATTTTTTAATTCTTCAATGTCACAATTGTCTTTGTGTTATTAAAAAAAATTAGAGTGAAAACCATGGGCGCCTTTCAGTCATATTCCAAAAATTAATGAGTCTTAAAGAGTGGAAATAACCTAAACTTCAAGATCTAGAGAAAACAAACAACTGTCACACATATTGTTCTTTACAGGCAAAAATTGAGACAATAAGTTCAACACAGGTAAAATCTAACTACCAACAGTATACCTAAGGAAAAGTTAGTACATGATTTTTATTGTTAAACACAATTTTGGAGAATAGGTCCATCTGCAGTTTGCCTTACCAGTGCCCAGCTCTTCCAGTCATCCCAATGAGGATCTGGACATATGAGAAAAGAAGGCATCATGAATGCCCAGTCCAGTAAAACCTTCAGCTGACCAGCCCCACCCACTGTCTGACTTCAACTGTATGAAAGATTACAAGTAAAAACTATCCAAATTGTCAGTTGTCCAGCACAATCAGTGGGCAGAACCATGAGATAACAATAAATTGTTTTAAACCACCAGATTGGGAGCAGCTTGTTAAACAAAATAGATACATGTAACACTATGCACATACTACCCTATGCACATACTGCTCTTAAAAGAATGTGCTTTGCCTTCAATCCTGTAAAATTATTCTTCACCAAAACCATGAAAGATAGCGTTTGGTGGAACTCTTGAAAAGATTTCTATTTCTCCATCCAACATTCAAAGAATTTGAAAGACAACATATCAGTCATTACATCATTCAGTCAGTACCCTCGAAACCAAATACTTCTAGCAGCTACTGGCAGATTATTAACTGGTCCAAAAGATAACACAAAATGAATTTAAAAAATGAGGCAAAAAGTCAATCTGATATGTATGATGATAAGGCAAGTGAAGATGCTGCCACTAACAAAATCATAAGGAACCTCCAGATTCCCAGCTGAGAATTTTGGCATATAATTGTATCCCATCAACCCTGGTACAAAAATTAACCAGAATCTGCTGAACATATTCACCTTTTCAAAACAGAAGTTGTTTGGGAAAGAGATCCGGTAATAATCATTTCTCCTAGTTGGTAACAGCAAAGCCCCTTTGGCTGATGAATGTTGTATTTCCTCATGAAAATAGAGATCAGTAAGCAGATGGAAAATTTGAATTACCACAGAACTATAGCTGCTCAGCAAATAGGAGTTAGAATATTGCTAACCTCATTTCTAAGGAAACCTCTCCTTAAAACCTTCCAAAATATCTTACTTCTGTTACAGCTTTCTTTGTGGTTTGGTTCTGGGGTTAGGGAGTAGAAGGGTAACTCTTAAATGTTTCCAAGGATGGTGTCACATCGCTATTTAAGGAACTGTGAAACCTTAATGCCACACAGAAAAAGCTGAATAAAATGTATCCAGTTACTTCTTTTAATTGGAGAGTTGTTAGTTATTAGTATTCAACATCACTAATCTCTGTCACCTCCTTAAGGACTTGGTTGTAGGAAAGGCATGCAAAAATAACTAATATGGATTTCTTGACCATGGTAGGGGTTCTCTATATGAAACCATTAATTTGTGGAATTATACGGATGTGTGGGTCTGTTATATTTAGTAGGCTATTATCTGCCTTGTAGGTTAGCATGGGTTTTTGAGTAATAAACTAACATTTCCAAACAATGTAAGATTTAACTAGAGAAAATGAATGCATTTCAACTGACTGGAATGTTACACTAGGATTGTAGTGCTGAACTATTTCACTATATAGTCACCTGTCAGAAGTACAGCATAGAGAAAATTCACAATTTTTTATATCAGCAAATTTAGAACATTTCTGCTTTGTTTTCAACAAAAAGACCTAAGGATTGAAGCACCATCTGATAATAATTTTCTACTGGTTTCAGAATCTTTCACAGAAATAATCGGTTAAAACATTTAGGAACAACATAGACCAGCCAATTAGACTCACTAGATAGACTCCACTTCATGGAAGCTTTTAAAATTTAGTTTCACATTAGGGGAGGCCTTTCTATGCAAAGCACAAAAACCAGAAAAGATTGATAAACTTCACTATGTAAAAACTTGAGAAGTTTTTAATGATGAATCAAAAAGACACTTGTAAAATTATTTTTTTTAATTTATTTATTTATGCATATAAGAGCTGGGGTACAGGCCAGAGGAATGGGGGGGTGTGGGGGAAGGTGGTGAAAGGATTCACCAGAGACAGAGTGGGGAACAGAACAGGCAGAGTGACTGAAATACACTGCTGAGGGGAGCAGCGGGCAAGACAGGAGAGGTCTGCTGTGCCATGTGGGCTGCTTCCTGGCCGCCCGGGGGATCGAACTCATGCTGCAGAGGCTGCAATTGCTTCATAGTGCTGTGCTTAACCCCTGCGCCACCCGGGAGGCCCTGACACTTGTAAAATTAAATGACATATTGGTCTTCAACCAATATGACAGTCAAAGGATAAGTTTTGTCAGTATTTAAGTATCCTTAGTAATGTATAAGAAAAATAACAACAACCCAGTTTTTAACATCGGAAGAGAATAATGAGCAAACCATTCATACATATGCACATGTGCATGCATACACACACAGATGAAAATATATACAATTAAAGACATGTGTGTTAAAATACCATTTTGTAAGATATGTTTTTTGAATCTATCTCACAAAGATTTAAAAGTTTCCTTATATACACTACCGTGAAGGTATGAATAAATAACCATGTATATGTTGTTGGCTAGAGTGTAAACTGCTACAGATGCCTTGAAAGCTTTATTATTATGAAAATTCTAAATGCAGTCAATTCTCATTATGGTGGTTATGGTCTATAAAGTTGCCAAAACATTGGAATTAGCAAATACTGAATCATTTCTCCTAGGAAAAATACAGAATTAAGTTTCCACAAGTCTCTAGTCACATTTTCATCAACTGATCAATGCATAATCTTGTTTTATATGTGCTTCTCATTAAAGATGCTTTATTTGATATATATGGCTGATTCATCAGCACTGAACTCATGGCCAATAGCACTATAAGTCATGCTCAGATGAAGCATAATACACCTATTTTTCTCCTTAAGGCACAGCAAAGCCTTCTTGTGCTTAGCAACAATCGACAGCACTTCAGCACTATGCTTGGGAGACAGTTTAAAGAGCAAAATTACCAACAAAAAACACAAAAATAAGTAAAATGTGGCACAAAATAAACCTCAAAAAGAATGCTTATTTCCCTTATGAGAACTGCAACAAGAAGGCAGAACTGGGAACATGCATGTCAGACAATTCAAAATTTTTGCTGTTCTGGAGATGTCCGAGAATGATGATGAGAACATAAGGATTGAAGAAAATCCAGAAATAAACCCACAGATTTATGGTCAACTAATCTTTGACAAAGGAGCAAAGAATATGCATTGGAGCAAAGAAAGTTTGTTCAATAAATGGTGCTGGGAAAACTGGGTCGCTACTTGCAAAAGAATGAAGCTTGACCACTACCTCACACCATACACAAAAATCAACTCAAAATGGATTAAAGAACTAGACATAAGACCTGAAACCATAAAATATATAGAAGGAAATATAGGCGAAACACTACGTGATTTGCACATCAAAGACATCTTTACAGACACATCACCCAAAGCAGTGATAGTGAAGGCAAAGATAAACAGCTGGGACTACATCAAATTAAAGAGCTTCTGCACAGCAAAAGAGACAATAACAAAAACAAAGAGAAACCCCACCAACTGGGAGAACATTTTTGCACCCAACACTAATGATAAAGGACTGATCACAAAAATCTGCAAAGAGCTGATGAGACTCAACAACAACAAAGAAAATAATCCAGTCAAAAAATGGGCAGAAGAGCTTAAAAGAAACTTCTCTGAAGAGGAAATGCAAATGGCCAACAGGCATATGAAAAAATGTTCAACATCACTTGTCATCAGGGAAATGCAAATCAAAACTACCATGAGATACCATCTTACACCAGTGAGAATGGCACATATTAAAAAAACTAGCAACAACAAATGTTGGCGAGGGTGTGGAGAAAAAGGAACTCTTCTGCACTGTTGGTGGGAGTGCAAACTGGTCCAACCACTGTGGAAAGCTGTATGGAGATTTCTGGACCTACTAAACATAGAGCTTCCTTATGATCCAGCAATTCCACTCCTAGGTATTTACCCAAAGGACACAGAAACATCAATTCCAAAGAACACCTGCACCCCTATGTTTATAGCAGCACTGTTTACAATAGCTAAGCTTTGGAAACAACCCAAATGCCCAAAAATAGATGACTGGATCAAGAAGATGTGGTACATATATACCATGGAATATTACTCAGCATTCAAAAAAGATAAACACATGCAATTTGCAGCAACATGGATGGCGCTGGAAGGGATCATGCTCAGCGAAATAAGCCAAAAAGAAAAAGAAAAATACCGGATGGTCTCACTCATAGCAGGAATCTAGAAAACTTAAATAAGGGACCAGGAAAATGAATAACTATAAGAAAGTGAAAATCAAAATCAAAAAAACTATGAACCAGAGACACTTTTAGGGGGGCGGGGTGGGAGGGAGGGATTGGGGTCAGAATGGGGGGGCTGCAATTGTATGGGGAATATAACAATAAAATTTATTAAAAAAAAAAAAAAAAAGAACATAAGGATTGATTTGAGAATTACAAATAAGTCTTAGCAAGTAAATTCACAAATACCAATTCTGCTAATAATGAGGCCCAATTATATATGTGTTCTATAAATCAGCAATATATGTGTTCTATAAATCAGCAACTTCAACTATATAAATATACCCTACATATATGTTCACATATGCATAAACTGCCTTTCTAAGGCTAATCATAGTAACATTTGCAATAAAAATTGAAACAATGTGAAAATCCAATGATTACATAAATTATGACTCATACAAAGGAATGAAATACTGTGTTGTCCTATCATGTATATATTAAAAGTTTTTTTGATTAAAAAAATGGTTTTCTTTGTTTATGTATCCATAAATTCAGGTTGTATTTCTGATAAACACCCACAGTAAAACAGTATAGACATAGTTTTAAGAGTAAGGAGAGTAGATGTGAAACTCTGGGGTTGGAGTCTCACTTTCTTATTGCAAATGCTTATGTAATATTTAGATATAAAAATAATAATCTAATAGGAACTAAATTTTTTGACATGGCGTCTTCACAATGCAACAATTTCATCTTCTCTGTGGCAGAAAAGAAGGCTAAGAACTGAATTTTTCAAATATTGAAAGATAGGAAAGAATGGGACAAAGCAGCAAAGCTGACTGAGTAGGAAATAAAAAAAGAAAATCAAGTGTTTGCAGACCCAGGTGATCAATGTATATCAAAGAGGAGGAATAATCAACTATGTCTTGTGCTGCTTCTATGCAAGTAAGATAAAGATTAAAAAATAGTTACTTAATTTTGCAATTAGAATTTATTGATGCTCTTATCAAGAGCAGTTTCCCTGGAGTGATAGGAAAAGAAATCCCTGAGTGGAGTGAGTTTAAGGGAATATAGAAGAATTATAAACAATAAAAGTCAACAACCCTTTTAGTTTGCCAATAAAGGCAAAGAAATCGGGTGGTAATTGGCAGGGAAAATGAAATTAAGAGGTTTATTTTTTCAGATGGAAGAAACCGTGTTTCTAAGCTGATGAGAATGATCCACAAAGAGAAATATAAAAGTCATATAGGAGAGATATCTGGGACAATTGAATAAAATAATTGAAATGATAAACAATTCCAAATCTTAATATAATTTAGTTCGTAACTTTTGCTCCTCCTCTCCTAATCACAGTCCTCTAAGAACACCACCAATTTGAGTGATACAAGATTGTTGTCCATGATCTGAGGAGTGTGTGGCCATAATAACATAATGTAAGCATTCCAGCTTTTACCTCACTTTCAAGTGTATATTACTTACACTCAGAAGTTCCTTTTTTTTTTTTTTAAAGATTTATTTATTTATTTATACAAGCACTGGGTACAGTCAGAAGCACGGGAGGGTGAGAGAATTCACCAGAGCCAGAGCGGGGAACAGAGCAGGCAGACTGAGGAAGTACGCTGCCTAGGGGAGCAGCAGGCGCGGCAGGAGAGGTCTGTCTTGCCATGTGGGACCCTTGCCGGCGGCCGGGATAGAACCGGTGCTACAGAGGCTGAGGGCAGCTTCACAACCGAGCGCTCAACTGCTGTGCCACCGGGGAGGCCCAGATGTTCCTTTCCTTTCTATAGAGCATCAATAGCTCTTAACAACAATCATACAATCCTTTTTTCCCCTATATTTATTTTTTCATAATTTTCACATACTTGATACATTTCATCTGCAAGTACATTCCCTGCTTATGCACCCTCCCAATTCACCACTGGTGATTTTTAACAAATGTCAGAGGTTGCCTGTGTTCCAAGTACCTGCCAATAATGAGTTCCCCTTTGCTAGCAAGGTGATATGTGATGCAGCTCCAAATCCCACTTTATCACTATTTTTCAGATCACTCCTACTGCCAGTCATCACCAGTTAAGTTCTCTGAAAGTAGATGCTGAGATGGAAATTTGGGTGCAGGATCTTTACTGTTGATAAACACCTGTAAAGGGAAGATTAAGAAAGCAGATTTGGGAGCTCCCTGGTGGCACAAAGGGTTAAGATGCAACCTATGAAGCTATCCGCAGCCACAGCAGCAGGAGATCAATACCCATATGGCGCAGCAGACCTCTCCTGACTTGCCCACTGCTCCCCTCAGCAGTGTATTTCAGTCGATCTGCCTGTTCTGTTCCCCACTCTGTCTCTGGTGAATCCTCTTACCCCCCACAACTCTGGCCTATGCCCCTGTTCTTGAATGCATAAATAAATAAATCTTAAAAAAAAAAAGAACTTAAAAAAATAAAGCAGATTTGGCAAAAGCTGTCAAATTGCTGAACTAACAAACCCCTTATCAATGTGGCAAAGAGCTCTGGAGCAAATATTACCTGTCAGAATGATCTTCTCCACTGGGATAAAACTGAAACTTTTATGTGCCCACCTCAGTCAGTCACTAGTTGACACAGACTACCCCAGAAAAATTGTGACTTTGGACAAAATTGTTCTCTACAATTCAAGCAAATACAGGAGCATCTTTTGACTGTGTGCCTGAGATGGGCAGTAAATCCTGCCTTGGAGGGCGATCTGGGCAGTGTATAACCATGTCCATCACAATAAGTACTAACTTTTTAAATTCACTTTTAAAAAAAGAAAGAAAAAAACCTGAGACAAATGTTAAAGTGTCCTAGATGCATGACAACAGATTTAGATTATGACTCTTCTGGATCCCCTATTCTGTCCCTCACCACGCAGAAGCAACTGGCCTTGCTTCATATCCTTGTCAGATATGTGGTAGACAGCTGACCCAAGTGCATGTTAATCCACAAAGTAGCTAACAAAATTTACATGGCCTGGGGCAAAAATGAAGATCAACTAATCAATTTCTCTTCCTTCAGAATTTTAACTTAGAAAAGAGAGAAAGAGTTAACAAAGTGAAGCTGAAGTAGATGGTCTAATGTAGGAATTGGACAAGAAAATCATGACAGACCGTAGTCAAACATAAATTATGCAGGAAACCAAACTATGAGTGAGCAAAAGTTAGGAGGTAGAGAAAAATTTTAGGGCAGAGGATCAAGACGATGTTTGTTATCAGGATAGAGAAGCAAGTAAAAAGTAAATGACTTGAGTTAAGGTCAAAACATTCCATTACTTTCATTATAGACACAACTTCCATTCCCAGTCTTCCAAGAAGCCTCCCTGTTGTTCATTTCTAGCAATACAAGAGTCTTCCACTTACTCCCTCTTCAAAAAGGGAGCTAACTACTACTCTGCAAGCTTCTGTTACAAGGTCATCTTACAAGATAAGGCTCTTGTCATCACATTGGCACTAAAGCCAAAGATTCTGCCCAGTATCTTTATTTTTATTTAGAATAAATCCACAGTATTTTGGGAAGGTTTTATTTTGTTAATATTACCAAATCCCTTACTCTCTTTTCCCATTCCCTCCTCCTCCCAAATAATAACTCCCAACTATTTCAAAAAATCTTATTTTTTTAAATGTTAATATTTTATTTTATATAATGCTTACATCATTTTTCATTTTTGCACAATGTATGCATTATCATTTTGGTTATATTCCCCATACAATTGCACCCCACCCCTTATTTTGACCCTAGTCCTTCCTTTCCCCTTCCTCCCCACATCCCCGTAGTGTGTCTCTGGTTTATAGTTGCTTGTTGATCAGAAAATCTTATTCGATGGTGATTCTTCCTGTTTTATGTTGCAGTTATTGATTGGTGCTCATTGAAGCATCTCCTGACCCTCAAGAATACCAGCAATATGATTCTAGATCCCATAACCAATGGATTTTAAGACTCCTTACCATCTCTGATTGCCCCTCAACACCATCACCAAATCTACAATTCTGGGAAATTCCAAGAATATGTTTCTGACTGCCTCAAAATGTAAGTATAGATTGCTTTTCTAGTAAAAGGACCCAGGTCTAGATTTCCCTACTTGAACTGTATTTCTACACAGATCTTAAAAAAAATGTTTTTCTCAACCTTTTCTAGACTAAGGAGCCATCTACTGTTTTAAGATGAAACTGCAGTAAATGATTATTGCTTAAACCTAAAAAAGACACAGTGAACTGAGTGGTATAATCTTCTCTTTCTCTGCCGGCTCGCTCTTGCCCTCACTCTCTCCTTCCCCCTCCTTGACAAATTCAAGGCAGTATTTTTATTGTAGTTGTATACATGTGGAAAAATTTTTCTAATTGTATTTATTGCATTTTTTATACCCAAGAGACATGCCCTATTAGGAGTGAGAGGGAAGTATCTCTTTTATGGGCAAATCTCTTTTAACTGGGGAATGTATTATAAGCCCTCTCTGTAGATGTATTTTGAAACTGTAAAAATACTTTCAAAATAAAGATCAGCCACATGGTCTATGTAATGTTAACCACTAAGCACTGCACAAGCCCAGTAGTCAATTCTTTTTTTTTTTCCAAAGATTTACTTATTTATTTATACAAGCACTGGGACAGTCAGAAGCGCTGGAGGGTGAGAGAATTCACCAGAGCCAGAGCTGGGAGCAGAGCAGGCAGAAGGACCGAAGTACACTGCTGAGGGGAGCAGCGGGTGGCAGGAGAGGTCTGCGCACCATTTGGGACCCTCCTCTGGTGGCCGGGGAGCAGCCAGGGATCGAACCGGCAGCCAGGGATCGAACCGGCACTGCAGAGGCTGCGGGCAGCTTTGCAACCCAGTGCTCAACCGATGGGCCACGGGGGAGGCCCGCAGTAGTCAATTCTTAAAAAAGAACCTGTCTGCGTATATAGGCTATGGAGGCTAGTAGTCTAGAGACTACTAGAAAATGAAGTTTTACAATGACAGATCCACTGCTCTAATGCCTCTCAGGTTATTCTTCCACTTGTAAACCTAAATGTGCAATAAATAAAGAAAAAATTTTTCTAGAAACTCCAGATTTGTCTTGAAGTACATGCTTGTTCAGTAAGGTAGCAACTCCCTCTACTATTAGTGTCTTATGCCCATATTCGAGAAAATTACATGTGAAGTTACTAAATTTTTTAAATTACCCCTTGTTTATCCCTGTTAGTGGATTGGAAAAAGTGAGCAAAGGAGAAATGTGCTGAGCTCTAATCAACTGAATAAAAAGGACTCAAGAATAGAGTGTTGCCCATACAAGTAGCTAAAACCTTTGAGGTTTACTTACAGGATAATTATTCCAGAAAGTAGTTCCAGTTAAGGTGAAATAAACACATTCAGTCTTTTCCACTGAATACAACTAAAAACACTACCCAGATAAAACACGATGCCATTATCTGGGGACTCTTAAAAACTAAATGATAGACCGACTGGAAGAAGAAAACTAGAACTCAAAGTAAAAGTGATTCAGTGGTGAACATGGTGGCGCAAGCAGTTGAGCGCAGCGCTGTGAAGCTGTCCACAGCCTCTGCAGCGCGGGTTCAATCCTAGCGGTCCCACATGGCACGGCAGACCTCTACTGTTGCACCCGCTATTCTCCTCAGCAGTGTATTTCGGTCGGTCTGCCTGTTCTGTTCCCTTCTCTGTCTCGGGTGAATCCTCTCACCCTACTGCACATCGGGCCTGTACCCTGGTTCTTGTATAAAAATAAATTTTAAAAATCTTTAAAAAAAAAAGAAAGTGATTCAGTGGTGAGTTTTCTCCTGTTTCCCCCATTTTCTAGTCTTAAAATCAAAGGTAACACTAAACTAAGAATGCTGCACCTAAAGTTGCACTAATGCAAATAGAAAGAGCCCCAAGCTAAGCCCCCTCATTCTGGTCCAAGGGATAGGAAAAGGAGCCTATTTATTTTGAATATGAAAATGGATTCCTAGGTATCCATAATCTATAGATAGATAGATAGATAGATAGATAGATAGATAGATAGATAGATAGATAGATAGATAGATAGATAGATAGAGATACATAAATTTTAAAAATCCAACTGAGTTAATATTTATCATTTACTTGGTCTTATTAAATTATTCATGAATCAAGCAGTATCCCAACTAGTAAGTAGAAGGGTGCTACAAGAAATTGTACAGAATGAAAGGTCTTTATAATAAGAAAAAGGGCAGGACAAAATCACTAGCAAAAAAAAAAAAAAAAAAAAAAGAATTATTTCAGAGATGGCTACCTTGGTTACAGGAAGACAAGAAGGTCTTTCAGATCACCTGACTAACTGACCAGGAATGCCCCAATTGATTAGTTTAAAATTCCACTTTTAGGAGAGGCTGAAACTGCACTTAGGTTAGGTATTAAGTCTTGGTAGGCCTGGCATGAACAACTCCATTTTGGGCCTTTAAGAAATAAAAACAGGGCCTCCCTGGTGGTGCAGGTGGTTGAGTGCCGCACTGTGAAACTGTCCATAGCCCCTGCAGCGTGGGTTTGATCCCAGCTGCCCGTGGAGCAACCCACATGGCGTGGCAGACTTCTCCTGTCTCGCCCGCGGCTCCCCTCAGCAGTTCTGTTCCCCACTCTGTCTCTGGTGAATCCTCTCACCCTCCCATGCATCTGGCCTGTACCCCGGTTCTTGTATAAATAAATAAATCTTTAAATAAATAAATAAATAAAAACAAAAGGCCTCCCTGGTTGCGCAGGGGCTAAAGTCTCAGCACTATCTAGCTGTAGCTAGTCCCTGCAGCAGGAGCTTGACCACCGGCCAGGGAACTGACCCAGTGCAGCAAACCTCTCTTTCTTAAGCCCACTGCTCCCCTCAGCAGTGAATTTCAGTAGATCTGCCTGTTCTGCTCCCCACTCTTTCTCTGGTGGATCCTCTCACACACACACCCACTTCTGGCCTACACCCCAGTTCTTGTATGCATAAATAAATTTTTTTTTTTTAAACGGGACTTTTTTTTTTTTTTAGAGGCATGTTTTTAATTTATTTATTTATTTGTTTGTTTGTTGATACATGTACTGGGTACAGTCAGAAGCACGGGAGGGTGAGAGAATTCACCAGAGCCAGAGCGGGGAGCAGAGCAGGCAGAAGGACCGAAGTACACTGCTGAGGGGAGCAGCAGGCGGCAGGAGAGGTCTGCGCGCCATGTGGGACCCTCCTCCGGCGGCCGGGGAGCAGCCGGGGATCGAACCTGCGCCGCAAAGGCTGCGGGCAGCTTCGCAACCCAGCGCTCAACCACTGCGCCACCGGGGAGGCCCCATAAATAAATTTTTAAAAGTCTTCAATAAATAAATAAAACAGTATTAAATGACTCCCATGATAGGAAAATGCAAAGATACCATTTTCCAGCTGCCTAGGCAGAATATATAAAGTCCTATATGGGGAGTTAAGGGATAAGGCTTCATTCATTCATTCAGCAAATCTTAAATATGCATCTACTAAATGTAGTCTCTTTCAGAATCTACCAATAATAGGAATAATTCCTCTTTAAGTTAGTATGATGATTAAGTTGTAATTTGATAGAAGCTTGTTTTCAAGAGCAGAAATTGCTTGAAAGAGAGTTTGCTATGTATTTATTTCATCTCCAAGAAAATGTTTAAAAAAAAAATGCAAATGTTTGCTGACCTTCTGCAGGAGGTGATTGCTGACTCTGGAGTGGTCTAGATCTCCAGTCTGGAAGAAAAGGAATCTTGAAAGCAATCAGACAGTTTGCTTACAACCTTAGCCAAACCAGGTAGTGCTTCCAGGAGACAAGGTGTTATGGCAGTGTTATTTTTTTCTCTAGGGCAGACATAATGGGCCTATCTTCTAACTCTATTATAATATTTAAGAGAAGTTTAATGACTATATTCATTCACAAATTTGTTATCTAATTTCAGGCCCTAATGGATAGAGCTTTTTCTTTTTCCTATTCTCTAGTAGATCAAAAGCAAATCAGTCCAATGTTCAGGAAAAATATTGGGGATGCCGCAAGATTTACTCTTTTTCAGTGTTGTTTATCATCTGAGAAAGGGACACACAAACCTTTGTGCAATAACTTACAATAATAGGCAAATTGAGAATACTAGACAATAATCATAGTCTATTAATTTTACCTGCTTCATGGGGAGAAAGGTAATATTGTTACAATGTGAGTGATTAAAAATCTTCCCACACTTAAAAAGAATTTGATCAGAGCAGTCTTGCAACCAGGATAATCATAATTTATCATCAAACTAAGAGAATTTGAAAGTAAAGGAGGTTTATGCCACAAAAACAGAAATAAACTAGGGCTCTACTGATCAAACTAGAAGAGTCATGACTAGAATAACATGGTGACTCTACTACACACTGAGCTAGTAGCTGGAACCAAGACTGAGGCCCTGCCTCAGATCACAGGAGAGGTCACTGTGGTACAGTGTAGTAAATGATAAGAGAAAGATATTATAGAGAAGGGGCCAAGGGCACAAATAGCATGTGTGAGGGGTAGAGAAGTAAGGTGTAAAAGGAAATTGTCATAGGAGGTGTCACCCATGGTTCTAGAACCTTATTATCAGAATCATTTGAGGAGTTTGAAGAATATAGAGTCCTGCTGCCCCCACTCCCATAATCTCATTTAATGGGGAAAAGTTGTGCAAGGCAGAGCAAAAGCACATGTGGAAAACCAAAGGTGAGTCATTACAACCCAATTCGGAGAGCTGAAAGCATACTTAAAAATATATAGGGCCGGGCCTCCCCGGTGGCGCAGTGGTTGAGCGCTGGGTTGCGAAGCTGCCCGCGGCCTCTGCAGCGCCGGTTTGATCCCCGGCTGCTCCCCGGCCACCAGAGGAGGGTCCCACATGGCGCGCAGACCTCTCCTGCCGCCCGCTGCTCCCCTCAGCAGTGTACTTCGGTCCTTCTGCCTGCTCTGCTCCCCGCTCTGGCTCTGGTGAATTCTCTCACCCTCCCGCGCTTCTGACTGTACCCAGTGCATGTATAAACAAAACAAACAAACAAATAAATAAATAAATAAATAACATGCCTCTATAAAAAAAAAAAAAAT